CCTTCTTCCGGGCGCCCCCCAACCATCCATAACTCTCTTTCCCTTCCCCTTTTTTTAAGCGCCGACAACATAGAGCACCGAAATCTTTCACATCACAAAAAAATAACACTATTTTAACTTTTAAAAAGTTAAATACACCTATTCATGCAGAAGTAAAGTGGTATATATATGTAAAAATTGAAGTTTATGTACATATATAGGAATTGTGTGATATTTATGTAGATCTTTCTAAATTATTTGGCAAAAATGCTTCATATTTTAGTGTTTTCATCAAAAGCTGGGAAATAATTGTTTAACTGATAGTCTTTCAAGTTGCAAATTATGTGTGTTCATGCAATTCATCATTGCTTTAGAGCCTTAGAAGTCTTGCATCAGTTTAGTACCAGACTTAAAAGATACATTTTAAAAAGAAAAAAAAAATCAAGTAATTCTGGTTCTAGCCAACTACAATGTGATTATCAAGAGGCTCAAAATTATTTTGCAACATTCGATGACAATTATAATTTTAAGAAATTTTCAAACTATATTTATTATTTAGAAGATAAATTTGAACACAAACACACTTTTCACAAGCAGTTTCAAACAAAATTAATTTCGAACAAACCAAACACAAGTTAAGCCTATAAGCTCGCTCAAGCTCTGCTAGTTTACAAACCTAACAACCAACACCCTAAATTCTTCTATTTTTTTCATCTACACATAAATTCACATCTAACACCATCAAATGTTTTATATTCCTTCTTCATGAAGTAATAGTAGATGATGGAATTGGTTCAACACTATTGTTGGATTCCAAAGATATATTTGTGTACCTATCTAAAACATCTATTTGTAAGATTCTTGGATTACAATACAGAAAGCAAAATAATTATGTTCCGATTTACTTGATAAATACTTAATATTAAGTACTAAATCCATCAGAAACAATTCTATTTAACCGAGTGCATTGATGTGAACTCCCTAGAGTACTTCCCATGCCATGAAATCAATTTTAGTGAGCTTCTGCAGTTCTAAGATTGGAAGAATTACATACAAACCACTCAATTCCTATGTATTTACATATCTAACACGTAAACTTCCATTTTTACATAAATGCTGCGCTTTACCTGTGCATGAAAAGGTTTATTTCACTTCTTAAAAGTTAAAATGGTGGTCTCTTTGATGTGATGTGAAAAATTTGTTTGGTATAAATGTAAAAGTAAATTTTAGGTGTCAAATATGTAAATACATAAGGATGGGGTGGTATGCAAGTAACTAGTGGTATTTCACTAATGTTTTTTGTTCGAGTATTGAACTTTCTCGTCTCAGATGATTTAAACTGGTCCAACTTGGGCCTACCAACAAAAAATTAACCGTTATAAATGCCATTTAAGGCAACTTAATGAGCCTTTGACTTAAAATTTCAGGTTATTTTCGAATTTTATATTTTCTTATTGGATATTAGATTTCTTTGAGTGCGATGCAAATGTGATGATCAACGTTTGGGGAAATTATCTCCTATGCCTGTGTGAACACTGAGTTTTTTTTATTTGATGCTTTTTTCTTTTCTTCTGAATAATTTATAATTAATTTTATCAGTGTGTTTAATTTTTCTTTAATTTTTTTAAAATTGGGTTCCCAATTAATGGGTTAGAGTTTATAAAATTTCCACTAGATTTCTTCAATTTGGTTAATCATTAAAATATGGCATAAATTTGTCAAGTTTTCATATTTTCATAAAAAGTGATAAATAATTATTTAATTATTTTGATACCAAAATTTATAAATAAACGAGTTACTTAAATTGTGCTAAGGATAGAGAAACGGAATCTATGAGAGAAAAGGAATAAAAAAGCTTAAGAAACTTTTGAAAATTTCAAAGAATCATATAAGGCAATGATTTTTATGTTAAAATAATTAATTCAAAAGTATATATTGAGAATAGGAAAAGAGTTTTCATAAACTTATTGATCCTGAGAAGGCATATGATCATGAACCATGATAATTAATTTAGCACACGTTAACAAAGAAAGATATATGTGAAATAAATTTTAATATTATTAAAAATATGCATAATAGAATACTTACTGATTCTAAAAGTAGATTTGAACAACTATAATGTTTGACTTATAGCTTGATTATATCAAAGATTAGCACGAAACTCATATCCTTTTTGTATTTATTATTAAGATGCTAAAATGCCTCTATAAGATATTCAAAAACATTAAAAAAAATTCAACAGTAAGTTTTATAAAACAACTATTAAGCTAGATATTTTAGCTGAATTTGAGTATTAAGCATTAAAAAAATTATTGATAGCCAAGTTGAGCAACGTAAAATTACGAACATTAAGATAAATCCATGATAAAATATGAAAGAATAACTTATAGAACGACTCAATAACTAGATGATTATTGTGTCATCCTTTAAAGTTAAAGTAGTTAAACACTACAATTGTTTGGATATATGCAATGAAAGATGAATGTGAACAACGAAAATTGATCCGCTAATGACATGATGCCAGGCGACCTATGAGGGAAAAAAGTGGCACTTCCCGAAAAGGTATGAGGAAAAGCCTCAAGTTTGAGTTATTTGCCGACACAAAGGAGTGCCAAAAATTGACCTGACATGCATACTCAAACTGAATTCGACTAGAAAAATTTGTGTTTCGCTAGACAAGAATAATTTTTGGGACAGGTTGGGTTTGAAATCCTAACTGGTATAATCTATCAGGTCGGTTTCAGGTACCCACCAATCTAAATTGACTGGAAATTGACCTGCTAACTCAAACTTGACTCAAAATCAACATGCAAACCAAAAATTAATACAAAATTGACTCAAAATTGGCCCGAATTCGGCCTGAATGGTTGTTATGCATTATGTTAAATAGGTTATACGGGTTTGCAAGATAAAAGCGAGTCTAATTTGGATTGGACTTCCTGACCAATTCAATATTTGTGACGGGTTCGGGTTAAGTAGTTTCGGGTCAAACCCAAACTAAACCCACAAAACCAATTTGACGCCCCTAACACAAGGTAATAAAAAAAAAAGCAAGAGAAGATACTATGACGAAATAAGGCCAGTGCCACATGAGTAAAGAATCAATCCTTGAAGGGTCCTTACATGAGTAAAGAATCAATCCTTGTGAAAAAGAGAGGGAAATAGAGAATGGCATAAGAAGGCTAGAATGTATGTGTTTCAGCTTTGTAGCTTACGTCCATAGTATCCTGAGAGGTAGGAGTCAACTAAGAAATTTACATGCACACCATACAATGTGAAGTCCACCTTAGTCTACCAAACAGCATCAATGAAAAGAGAGAGGAATTATCTTGTTTTGTGCAAGGGAGTTCAAATCACACCAATCTCAAAAAATCCCAAAAAGGTCATTTCATTAGGAGGGAGCCTTTGTAGGCAACGTCTAAGCTAGAGGAGGTATTGTTGTGGCTGACAACATAGGGATACATGCTAGGACTATCTTATTCAGCTCCCACGGTATTGACGTGTTACTGTATATGCTACAGTAAATGCGGCCCACTTTCAGATTAAATTATGTTTTCTATTTAATTTTCCTGCTCTAATTTACCCTTCCTAATCCTTCCCTACATACTTGGACTGCATTTAAAATTCCTGCCTTTTCTATCCACTCTTCTTTAATCATTTGTCTATTTCTACTTATCCAGTCTAGCCTCTAATCTCATCTTATTTATAATTATTGTGTGCCGATTGTAAGGAGGATTTATGATTGCAGATTTCTGAGTCCGGCTTTTGAGGTGTTCTTCCCCTCCGGGGGCTATATCCGAAGGCAAAAATGTGCTCCGGCTATTACTCGTCCGAGGTGATAACCGTCTTTTAAGGGTCCAGGTGATGCTCCTATTGTAGCTCAACCCTGACAAGAAATTTATCTTTCTGCAGCCCCCTCTCCCACGCAGTCCAGCAGTTGCCAGCTTGTCACCCTTCCCTCTTGCCACCTCCCCTCAGCCATAGCCATCTTCAATCAGTTCTCAAACCCACCGTCCAGCAGCCTCCGTCCTCGTAGTCACCCACGGATATCTTTTATTGTTTATTTTGTTTGTGTTTGTTTGTCATTACTTCCTTCTTTTCAAGTATTATCTTTGTAATCCGTTTGGAATTCAGAAATAATATGTGTTTCCACTGTGGTTTGGGTTTCCTTTGACATCAGAAATTTAATCCCAAGCATTTCCAGATGTTGTAGAGAGTTATTAAAGTGATCATAGAGCACTATGTATCATGGAAACATGTCAACTTGTTGCGGGCTCTAAGCAGCAGGATCTAAGCATATCATGCTTAATAAACAATTTATGCTCGACTAGGTGGTGATGTGTTAGGAAATTGGTAAAACATCCCAAGTTAACTAGACTTAGGAGCCTGACTTGGCTAAATCATTAAGAAAAATACAAGTTCAATTTATGCTCGACTAGGTGGTGATGTGTAAAACATCCCAAGTTAACTAGACTTAGGAACCTGACTTGGCTAAATCATTAAGAAAAATACAAGTTTAGGTACGAGGAAGCTGAGCCAGGTGTCTAAAAAATAATAATTCGTGAAATATGAAATTTAGCTAAGAATAATTAGCTTAATTTATTAATCATTCTTTATTGAAAACAATGAATATCCATTGTTGTTTGCTCCCTTAAGATGGCCAAAACGGTGACAGGTAAGACATCGTGTCAAGAGGGTTGAAGATGCATCGGCTGGGAGGTCTATGCTTATTGACAAAATGGTGGCAAGTAAAGATGCTAGCAATGCTATCCTGAGTTCAGTCTTTCTTCAGAAATTGAAGGCTCGAGAATAGCATAAGAATGTGAATGACAAAAACTGGTCCAACACTTGGATGGCAATATGAGGCCTACACGTAAGAAAAGGTAGTTCTTCCCGGAGAGGGAAAATAGGAGAGTCTCTAACCTGAGACACTTCTCGACTCGAGAAAACAAAGATGGAGACTAGTCTAGTGAACGGCTTCCAAAAAAGATAACAACATAAAAATTAGGATATGTGGTTCGGCTTTAGGGAGGAGTACACTCAAAAAAAAAAAAAGGTGCACTATACAAGAAAGTCCATCTTGGTCTGTCGGTGGTGCCAATATAGAAAGGACTTGGACGAGATGAAGGGAGAGAGGTAGACTCATTTTCTATAAAAAGGAATTCAAGTTCCATTAGTCTCAAAATATCCAAACTGTTCCTTCTAGAATTAAATGGGTGAAGACTTTATATGTTGCATCTCGACTAGAGGTGATGCTGACTTCGTCAGTTTAGTTACATGGGGAAACATGCTTGGACCATCCTAGCAACATGCACATTATCATAAGCAAACCAAACCTTTTTTTGCAAATTGGACAAGGTTTTAAGTAGTTAATAATATAATTATTTAAATAATAATAATAATAATAACAATGATAATAAAATGAATACAAATGCATACAATTAATTTTTTGAGGAAAATATGCAAACAACTAGTAAAATAATATCATTAAATTTATTGGAAATTTTAAGTGGACAAAAATATAAAAAATTAAGAGAAAAATAAGAAGACAAAAAATAAATTTAGGCATTCTTTTTAGTGATGAGTGGGCAAAATTCTAAATTAAGGGTGAAAGTTCTAAAAAAATTAGCATCTTCCTAAGGAGCAACAATTTTGAGGTGGGCATTTACCGACCCTCACTCGAAGATGGTCTGTCACTAGAAATCATAACCTCGAATTGGTTGTTGTGGTGGTAAAGAGAATATGGGTGGGGCTTGGAGATAATCAATTGCAATGAGATGCAATCGATAGCTGGATAACTAATTGGTCTTTTGATCCTTGTGTGCTATTTCGGGCATTTGTAGAAATACATTGTGGTTATAATGAGCCATTATGTACAGTGTGGACTCATGTAACCTAGTAGGCTCTGGGTCACTGGGTGAATTATGCTACATGGGTGAGAAAGTTTCAAAGAATTGATCATACATTTAAAGTTGATTGGATCGAAGAGGCCAACTTTAGGAATTCAGGAACCAATTTTAATTAGAAGGGATCACTGAGGTTGTAGTCTTAGAAAAGTCAATGTTGGTTGAGTTTTATTCATTGAGTTCAATTTATTAATGATTTCTAGATCCTGAGGAAGCTAAATCTGGGTGGGGTATTATTATATTTTGAGACTATTTCGAAATACATTGAGCTCTTAGGGAGATCGAGTTAGACGACACATCAAGAATGCCAAGGTTGCTAACATAGATAAGTCAATAATGAGGGTAGAGGGCTTGAATCATTGAGGGTGAATTATACGAAAAGGAGACCAATTTCCAGTACCGAGCGAATCTAGTCCGCTCTTAGTGAGCTTGAAAGCTCCAAGCTATAACACAGATGGTGGCACCGATAAAAGCAATAACTTTTCTCAAGTCACAGAACAATTTAATAGGCCATTACTTTAATAGGCGATAACCTCTTTTGGGCTCTTTGATTTAAATAATTGTTACATAAGCATTCCTAATGGCGTACAAAAAACTATGTGATCATAGTAAAAAGTGAACGAATTAGACAGATGATAGAATTAATGGTAAAAAATTCGGAAAAAAAGGATGCATGCCTAAAATAAATGGATAGAACTTTTCAAAATAATTTACAAAGAATAAATTTAACTTAGGTAGCAATCCATTAGAACAAATGAAAATAAGAGTTCTTTATTCTTTATGATGACCTTAATAGAGTTTGCATAAAAGTGATAAATTATAATAAGAACCATTTTTAAAAAATATTTTCTCCATTTCGCAACAACAAGGTAAAACCAGAGTAACTATAATTGAAAAATTGTCATGCTAAAATGTATTGACAAATTGAGGGGTTATCTTAAAGCGGGATTGCATTATCTTTGTAATAGAGGGTAAAAATCAGAGGAGTAACAACATTATTGTTGACATTTACAATAAAAACTATGTTATTGGCATTTGTCAATTGTCTGATTTGTTGGTATCTTCAGATATTAAACATAATTTCACTTATTTTGGCGGCATCCAAAAGTCACCCAAATTGGACACAAAAGTAATAATATGAAAATATTGTGTCACCAGGGGAGGGATAAAAAGGTACCAGTAAATCAAACATAGACATTTGATATATAACACACTAAAAATTGAATAACATTATTACCTCGATAATATTACCATATGGATAACATTGAATCAAACAATCCCTTGATTCCACATATTTTTTCTAATAAAGTGAATGAATGGATGTTAACTAGCCAAAAATAACTTTTAACCAAAAAATTTTATATGATTATATCTAAAAAGGAATTGCAGGTGTATCCAAAAAGTAATTTAAAATGGTTCCCAACCAGTTGATTGATTACATCATGGTCTATACTATATTTATTACCCTAAACACTAAACCCTAAAGCAACACCTAGGTACATGCAATATCATAGTTGGCTTGTTATCCCAAGAAGCGTGCTTGCATTAAGATTTATGCAAGCAAGCTCAAACACAAACTATCCAATCAATTTCTTTAAGATTCAAGTTCATGCTGCAACAATAATATGTTAAAAAACATTCTTTTTGGGGCATGTGTAGGGAGCAGGGTGGCTAAGCAAATTTACCTCCGACGATCAAAGGAGTTCAATCTCACAACGTATGGCCAAATCATTGCTCTAAGCACTCGGGCAATTCAATTTACCGCCCTTAACAAGGCAATAGGCACATTATATAACTTAAAGTAAATTAAATTATCAAATTATCATATTTTAACCAATTATAATTAACTTCGATATCTACCTGAATAAAATATGAAAGAAAAACTATTAATCTAATATCTAAAGAGTTAAATCTTTCAAACACACTCCTCACCTATAAACTTACAAAAACATTCAAGCCCAATTCACCATTTTCAATCTTGTTTCATTGTTATATTTCACTCAATTTACCACTCATCTTCTTCGAAGTACCATGCCAAATCATAGCTCATATCGTTTCATTGTGATATCTTATTTTTTTCTTCTGGCTCTTTCGTAGTTGCGTCGATTGACCCAGCTCGGCAGCTCGCGTCATTTCTGCTCGAGCCGATTTCGCAAGGGTCCTCTCGTCCGCTTCTGCAATTTCGTTGGGCTGCGTCGTTTGTTCTCTGTAGGCTGAAGGGCGACGATCCAGCTCGACAACTGCACCACGACAGACCCACGTCTGTGCCGCTTCTGCTCGATATGAATTCATTGGGCTTCTTCAAAGGGGCTCCACAAATAATTTGTTGCTCCTGCAATGCGTGTTAATGGCCTCAAAGTTTTCCTACGCCGCCGCCCTCGCCGGTGTTAACCCTGCCAAACCCTCCGACGCTAAATAAAGTGTTTCACAAATGCAGTTTCCCTTTCCACCTTGCAGATAGTCCAATGTTTCCGCAGATGTACCATGACTCTGTTGCATAACATGAAGATTGCAATCTTATTAAAAGGTAGAAAAAAGGCAGGCAAACAAACAATATTCTTCTCTGACGCTGAAATTTCAAATCGTGCAGACAAATACATATTTATACTAGTTGGAAAGTTTCAATTAGGTCGCTCTAATATTGAGATTATCAGGAAGGTTTTTGAAGATTTCAAACTCGTTGGGGATTGGCAGGTGAATTTTTTTTACGGAAAACATGTTATGATATAGCTGAGCATAGAAGAAGATTACATGAAAAATTTCTTAATGAAAATTTTCTTAAAGAAATTCATCACAATCTAGGGCAATCATATGAAATTGTTCAAATTGACCCCTAATTTTGGTCCCAGTCAAGAACCCCTAATTGCACTTATCTGGTTCTCATTACCTGAACTCAAGCTTCATTTCTTTGACCTACCTATCTTATATGCAATTAGGACTATCCTTAGAAAACATTTGCAGATAGATATACCTACAATTCATTTCTCAAGGCTCTCTATTGCAATAATTTTGATTGAAAGAGATGTCACACTACCAGATGTTGATAATTTGATTGAAAGAGATGTCACACTACCAGATGTTGAAGAAATCTGGTTTGGCTCAGTTCACAATGGTTATTGACCAAAAATTATTATGGAACAAAAACCTTACTAGTGCAAGTACTGCAAGATGTTCGGACACCCGCAAGAGAAATGTTCAGATTGCACCCACAGTTAAGAAATAATAGTCAAAAGCAGGAACATGTTGTTAGTGCAACCCACGTGCCTGAACGCGCTCCCAGCAAACCTGATGACAACCAACCTGAGGAGGGAATCAGCACAAGACATGAGTTGATGTTTAATCTTGAGAACCCTTCTCCTGACCATACTAAAAGGGATAATGTTCGGACCGAAACTCAGGATAGCCCCGCGGCTCCTATTCTGGAAGCAACAGGTGCAGAGGTGACAATTCACACTTCACATACACTGGAAACTATCATTGTGAAAACAAATGTTTTTCCTTCTACCGCGGTTCTAATATCTAATCAGATCGAAGATCGCATGAGCCAGTTTTCAGAAAGAAAATGACAGTTACACTTCTCGGCGGAAGAAAAAAATTGGAGGCATGCTCTAACTTGGAAACTTAATGGATGATACTTTAGTTACTTCTGACAATGACATGACACTTCAAAGTTTGTTATCTGATTCCGCTCCTAAAACTAAAGAAAAAGAAAGATGCATGACTAGGCTGGCTCGTCCCTAGCTACTTATTTTCTGCATGTTTTAAATTTTTTTGAGTCTATCTGTATCTTTTTGTGTATCTTTTTTGTATCTTTTTGTTGGGGTATTATTGTATTTGGTATCGTGTGGGTAGGGTGCCTCTATTGGGCCCTGACATACAACTTTTATGTATCATTTCAATTTCAATAAAATCTGCCCTGAGGCTTTTATATATATATATATATATATATATAATGATTCACATAATTACGAAATTTAAAAAATATAGTTTTTTTATATATATCTAATTGTCTAACCATATTTTCCATTTATAATATATTTTAAACGGTAAATTAACAAGGTTTTTACTCTTTATATCAAAGCATACATCTGACCTCATGATAGCTAAAATGCATCATCTTATGCATTGTCTTTTAAAACATTCTCTAGTATTTATGCAAATCAATCTGCATTCATGCCATCAAATATATGGATCATATTACAGGCTTCCCATTTGATTGATCATAGAAATCATAATAGACAACTTAGATTACGATGTCACTCTTTCTGCCAAGGGCATAACAACGTTTCAAAATATTAAGTTAGAATTTGTTGACCAGAGGACATGTTGATCAAGCATGACCATCAAAGATGAATTGGCCTAATTCTTTTGAATCATCACTTAAATGCATAAAAGTTCCCTAAAATAATCCCAAAAGGGTCCTCTAACTTCATTGGAAAGTGACCAAAGTGATCAACTAAAATGATGTTTACAAAAGCTAATGCTGTAAAAAGAAAAAAATAACAGTCAGATCATCCAAATCTTCCTCATTCATATATCTCACACCATGCCCAAAAAATATAATTAGCAAACCCTTCTATTTGCTCAAGCCACAACCAAGTTGTTTTGAAGTTAATCAAAAAAGTTGTTCAGAAGTTAATGAAAGTAAAAAAAAAGTTTAAGATTTTGTTGCACTCTTCGATATTTAGATGGTATTATTACAACTGGATATAATTACGTGTTAGTTTTGTAAAAATACAACATTTGAATTGTACACATGTAATTGCACCTAAAGACAAAATAATTGAATTTAACTTGAACGCACTCTACATTTCGATCAAATGTAACTAACATTTAACCAACATATAGTATAATGCACGGATCTAACAAAATGTTTATTGTGATTAACTGAATGAATATTCCATCCCACAAATTTTATTTTATATAATATAGAAATATACCTTCTATGCCGAGTGAAAATACTTCACATTCAATAAAAAAAGTGAATGTAACTTACATCCTAAACATTAGGTCCACAATTTCATGTCGTTAAGACACCTAAGAATATCAAGTATAATAACAAACAAAATAAATAAAAAAATCAGTTGCTACATAAATACTAAACGAATGGCCCTCACCCATTAGTTTAATTTTTTGGATTTAAATTTGGGTTTGAGCACTAGTTGATCAAGCCAACTAGATTTCGCAATTCCTGAAAAAAAAATGATATTAGAATCAATGGTTTGGCTAAGTTAACTGGTTAATAAGTTTGACTGGCATTGGTCTAGACTCCTATCGTGATCAAAATATTTCAAGAGCAAGTAACTTTTGTGATAATTGTAGTTCTTTGATTGAGCTCTTATTGCATGATAAGTAATGATGTTCAAAAAACATATATTTCAAGGGGAGTAAAGCTCAATATAAGTGAGGGGAAGATAGTAGTCATATGAGAATATTGGATTTAATCCCACATTTGTTGAGAGGAAAATATGTTCCTTTAGAAATATCAAGTGCTTGGCCCTCACTAAAGATTTAAACTTTTGACATGAAAATATATTTAAGCATTAGTATATTAGGCCAACTTTCATCCCCCTTTGATCCAATGTTTTTTAATACATGCTCTTTTCTAATTCATGATTACTAAAACCATTACCAAGCAACCCTTGGCCGCCTGCTCTCTCTTCATAAAACTAAAGGAAAAACCCTTTGCAAAAAGCTAGAGATTTTGAGCAATAAACCCCACCTTTAAATTAAATCTCAAAAATTATTTTCATATATCATATATTTTCATAATTAAATCTAATCGAGAAAAATAAGTTGACCGACACCAGGCTAGCATTGGGATGACTCCATATGAAGCCTTGTATGGAAGGAAGTACATAACGCCTCTATGTTGGGTTGAAATAGGTGAAAGAAAGATCATTGAAGTTGATTTGGTAGATGATGCTACTGAGAAGATTAAACTGATCAGAGACAGACTGAGGACAATGCATAATAGACAGAAAAGATTATGATGCCAAACACAAATCTGTTGAGTTTGAAGTTGGAGAGTTTGTTTTAATCAAGGTCAGTCCATTGAAGGGTGTGTAACATTTTGGGAAGACATGAAAGTTGAGCCCAGATTTGTCGGTCCATTTGAGATTGTGGTGAAGATTGGGAATGTGGCTTACATTTTGACTTTTCCAGCTCATATGCAGTGAGTGCATAATGTTTTCCGCATTCCTTCATTGAGAAAGTATATTACAGATGAATCCAGTAGGTTGATAACAGACTCAGTTGACATTCACCCGATTTGACTTATATTGAGGAGCATGAATGGATTCTGGATTTTGATGTGAATAAGTTGTGAAACAAAGAGATCCCTTTTGTGAAGATTTTATGGATGCACGGGTCAGATAAGGATGCTACTTGGGAAATGGTCTCTGAGATGCAAGAAAGATATCCACATCTTTTTGGTTGAGGTATGCTGTTTTATTTTAACTTTTTCAAATTTCAAGGATGAAATTTTACAAGGAGAGTAGATTGTAATAACAGAAAAATAATAAAAAAAAAGATGCTAGCAGTTTGAGGAGACGCATTCCTTCAGTTATAAACAATCTATCACATCTCTCATTCGATCAAATCAAAACATAATAAGCGAGGAAGAGTAAAGGAAGCTGCATAGGAGAAGGAAGAAGGATGAAGAAAGAAGTTGTGGTTGTTGTACAACTTTGTGTCCTAGCCAAGAAGGAGGAAGAAGGAAAGGGAGAAGTCGAAGGAGAAGTTTACCAGTGTTGTGCTCTCGTGTGTGTGTGGGAGGAAGAATTGGAAGAAGAAGTTCACAGGTGTTGTTGCATTGAGCTGACAGAAGAGGAAGGTGAGTCGAGTTTCCTACGGTACTCGCGTGCGGGAAGAAACGTGTGTGCTATTGAGACTCGCCTTCATTCATGCATAGCACAACAATCATAAAAATTTAAAGCATATTAGACTATAATTACTCACTAAGTTATACTTACAGTTGCAGTTAATTTTTTCCTTCAGGAGAAGAAAAACTTTAAGGAATACGTTTGAAAGAAAAGACTTTGTTTATCAGAGGAGATTCACTATTGCTAGGTATATTTATTATGAGGATAGTTTCTCTTAACTGTTTCTTTCAGTCATCGATATATTGTTTGATACTAGCTTGAGATGTTATTTTTCGATGTTATTGTTTCTAGATGTTTTAAAAATTATTGCACTTTGTGAATTAGTAATTCTTTTATAAGTATTTGAAGTTTAAAAAATATGTAAATAGTTAGATGTTAACACCGTCTGACCGTTGTTCCTGCCTCAATTAATTCTAAGCATCAGGTTGGTCTTGACAATTGGTGTCCTGTCCCAAAAGCCTATGAGTCTTATCCTTTGGGTTAGAATCTGATTTCGGTTAACTAAAACTAAATTCACCTAAAAACTCCATCAATATAACACAGACATAAACCAACCTCTTACACAACAATTCCCAAAATACAATAATAAGATACTACTTCATGCCAATTGTTTTACAATTCACATTAAGCTCATATGAGGTCTATAGCTTCACTAATACAAACCACCCACTTCCTATGTATTTAAATATCTAACACCTAAATTTTACTTTATTTTACATTTATACCACCAAAATCTTTCATATCATATAAAAAATATCATCATTTTAAGATCAAAATTACCATCATTTTAACTTTTAAAATGCGATACACCTTTCAATGCATAGGTAAAAAGTTTGGGTGTTAGATATGTAAATACATAAGAACTGAGAGGTGTGTATGAAAATCTTCCACAAATATGTAATCAAAATCTAGAAAATTCCTCATTCTTAGTTAATATTCCATAGAATTGCTGCAAAATCTACAGAGAATTTTCAGACTAACATGGACTGATGCTACTATTAACAGAGTTACAGCATAAATCTGAATCTGGGGACAATGATATCAATAAATAGCCATGTTTTCACTTTCTGCTTAATCTCAAATACTCCCAAAGCCTCCCCATTCTGAATAGACAATCAGCTTCTTCATACCCACTTCCCTTAACCTAGTCGTAGCATTCGAAAGACACATAATTCTAAGCTAGAATTGAGATCAAATAAGGATAAAAATAACAATTAATACCTAATTTCAACGGATAACATTCTATTATTCATCCACATCAAAGAAGAAATAATACCAGAGAGAATCAAACATTAGAGAGTGTTTTTGCAGCGGAAATCCAGGCCCGGATCCTCGTTCGACGGGAAAGATGTAACGGCAGTGACGGCGGCGGCGGGAGGGCCGATCCTGCACCTCCGGTCGATCATCTCCTCTACTTTTTCTGGGCTTCCGGAGAAGAGGGCTTCAACAGAGCCATTCCTCCGGTTCCTTACCCAGCCCCGTAGGCCAAGATCCTCTGCGTTCTCCATCGTCCAATCTCGGAACCCTACACCCTGCACGCGTCCCTTTATCTCCACCCGCACGGTTTTCACGACCATCGTCGGAGGAAGAACGCCGGAAGTTGCAGCTGCGGTGTCCATACTCCTCATACCCGCTTCTATGGCGATTGCGATTTTGAAGATGGAGTGAGTTTGGGGGAACGCAATTACATCCAAATCGTCCAAAACATTGCTATTTACGAATATAGCCCCCAATTTCATCCATTTTTCAAATTCTCTCTCAAATATTATTTTTCCTGATAAAATTCTTACCCATACTTTCATTTGAAATGTTTTTTTTCATATCAACCACCCAAAATATTTAATATAACATTTTAACCACTCAAAATTTTAAATATAACACCTTAACTCACTCAAAATCTTCACTTAAAACATTGTTTTATGTATGGCTGTCAAAAAAGTTCGTTGTTCGCGAACAGTTCGTGTTCAGTTCGTCAATGAGTTCGTGTTTGATTAATTCGATAAGTAAAGAAGACGAACGTGAACAATTTTTTTTTAGTTCGGTTAGTTAAACGAAACAAACACGAACAGTGATGCGTTCGTTCGTGTTCGAATCGTTATTGTTCGAATATAAAATAATATAAAATAATTA